TCAGAGATCTAAACGTCTCAATCAGAGCATCTTTCTCTTGCGGAACTGACAGAGAAGTATAAATCTGTCATGTTCTGCGGGTGGAGGTGGCAGACCATGTGTGGTGGTGGGTTCCGGAGGCAGATGAGCAGGCAGATGTAAAAAATAAAAAGCTGTTTATTGAAGGACGGGAGCACAGGACGAACGAACATGGACAACGACAATGAACCGACAAAGACAACAACCAGGATGGAGGTATAAATACACAAGGGAATCAGGAACACATGGGCAGAGTAATCAGGGACAGGTGAGAACAATCAGGCTAATCAGGGCAGGAGAGACACATTCAGGGAGGCTGGGGCGGATCATGACAGTACCCCCCCCCCCCCCCCCCCCCCTCAAGGGGCGGATACCAGACGCCCACAAGCCACAAAACACAGGAGACACGAGCACGAACGAAGACCAGACCAGGGCACACATGACAAGGGAACACAGAAGACGAGACCAGGGAACAAGGAACACCATCCAGGGCTGCGGAGCAGGGGCCTCTTGGTTCAGGCGGCACCCCGTCTTACGACCAGACGTGTCCAAGAACTTAGGCCAGGGAAACTCGGACACGATGACTTGACTGGACACGATGACTTGACTGGACACGATGACTGGACACGATGACTGGACACGATGACTGGACACGATGACTTGACACGATGACTTGACTTGACACGATGACTTGACTTGACACGATGACTTGACACGATGAGATGACTGGACACGATGACTGGACACGATGACTGGACACGATGACTGGACACGATGACTTGACACGATGACTGGACACGATGACTTGACTGGACACGATGACTTGACTGGACACGATGACTTGACTGGACACGATGACTTGACGACTTGACACGATGACTTGACGACTTGACACGATGACTTGACGACTTGACACGATGACTTGACGACTTGACACGATGACTTGACGACTTGACACGATGACTTGACTGGACACGAACACTTGACTCCCGGAACACAGGACACCAGGAACACAGAGACGAACTGCAGCAGCAGGCGTGGGACCCAGCAGGAACTGCAGCAGCAGGCATAGGCCCCAGCAGGAACTGCAGCAGCAGGCATAGGCCCCAGCAGGAACTGCTGCGTGGAGAACCTGCAGGCACAGAACCTGCAGGCGTGGACCAGGAAGTGGCTGAGTAGCGGGAGCGACGCGTGGAAGCCCAGCTCGGCGGCAGGTACTCGACATCCCAATCAGAGCAGGTGCACATCCGATCTGCTGGGTCCATCGGCGGAGGCTTGGGTGATGGGAAGCCGGAGAAGAGCGGGGAGACCAGCCCTACCACACTGGAGAATAATGGCGTGCGTAGGCGGTGTAGCTCCCTTGAGGCTCCAGGATCCACCGGAGAAGAGCGGGGAGACCAGCCCTACCACACCGGAGAATAATGGCGTGCGTAGGGGGTGTAATTCCCTTGAGGCTTCAGGATCCGCGGCTTCAAGAGAAGAACGGGACGGGGCAAAAACAGCTGGAGGAGAATGACCCTGGCCACCCCGAAGATAAATAGGATGCGCCAGGATCTCCCAGAGGAACTTCGACCACCCCGAGAACAGGTAGGATGCGCCGAACACACAAACTCCAGGCCAGAAATCTCCCACAACTGAAAGGGACAAAAAAGAAAAAATAATCCTCCAGGAACAGATGTGTTAGCTCACCACAGGTCCAGGTTTGGTCGGTTCATTCTGTCATGTTCTGCGGGTGGAGGTGGCAGACCATGTGTGGTGGTGGGTTCCGGAGGCAGATGAGCAGGCAGATGTAAAAAATAAAAAGCTGTTTATTGAAGGACGGGAGCACAGGACGAACGAACATGGACAACGACAATGAACCGACAAAGACAACAACCAGGAGGGAGGTATAAATACACAAGGGAATCAGGAACACATGGGCAGAGTAATCAGGGACAGGTGAGAACAATCAGGCTAATCAGGGCAGGAGAGACACATTCAGGGAGGCTGGGGCGGATCATGACAGTACCCCCCCCCCTCAAGGGGCGGATACCAGACGCCCACAAGCCACAAAACACAGGAGACACGAGCACGAAGACCAGACCAGGGCACACATGACAAGGGAACACAGAAGACGAGGCCAGGGAACAAGGAACACCATCCAGGGCTGCGGAGCAGGGGCCTCTTGGTTCAGGCGGAACCCCGTCTTACGACCAGACGTGTCCAAGAACTTAGACCAGGGAAACTCGGACACGATGACTTGACTGGACACGATGACTTGACTGGACACGATGACTTGACGACTTGACACGATGACTTGACGACTTGACACGATGACTTGACGACTTGACACGATGACTTGACGATTTGACACGATGACTTGACGACTTGACACGATGACTTGACGACTTGACACGATGACTTGACTGGACACGAACACTTGACTCCCGGAACACAGGACACCAGGAACACAGAGACGAACTGCAGCAGCAGGCGTGGGACCCAGCAGGAACTGCAGCAGCAGGCATAGGCCCCAGCAGGAACTGCTGCGTGGAGAACCTGCAGGCACAGAACCTGCAGGCGTGGACCAGGAAGTGGCTGAGTAGCGGGAGCGACGCGTGGAAGCCCAGCTCGGCGGCAGGTACTCGACATCCCAATCAGAGCAGGTGCACATCCGATCTGCTGGGTCCATCGGCGGAGGCTCGGGTAATGGGAAGCCGGAGAAGAGCGGGGAGACCAGCCCTACCACACCGGAGAATAATGGCGTGCGTAGGCGGCGTAGCTCCCTTGAGGCTCCAGGATCCACCGGAGAAGAGCGGGGAGACCAGCCCTACCACACCGGAGAATAATGGCGTGCGTAGGGGGTGTAATTCCCTTGAGGCTTCAGGATCCGCGGCTTCAGGAGAAGAACGGGACGGGGCAAAAACAGCTGGAGGAGAATGACCCTGGCCACCCCGAAGATAAATAGGATGCGCCAGGATCTCCCAGAGGAACTTCGACCACCCCGAGAACAGGTAGGATGCGCCGAACACACAAACTCCAGGCCAGAAATCTCCCACAACTGAAAGGGACAAAAAAGAAAACATAATCCTCCAGGAACAGATGTGTTAGCTCACCACAGGTCCAGGTTTGGTCGGTTCATTCTGTCATGTTCTGCGGGTGGAGGTGGCAGACCATGTGTGGTGGTGGGTTCCGGAGGCAGATGAGCAGGCAGATGTAAAAAATAAAAAGCTGTTTATTGAAGGACGGGAGCACAGGACGAACGAACATGGACAACGACAATGAACCGACAAAGACAACAACCAGGATGGAGGTATAAATACACAAGGGAATCAGGAACACATGGGCAGAGTAATCAGGGACAGGTGAGAACAATCAGGCTAATCAGGGCAGGAGAGACACATTTAGGGAGGCTGGGGCGGATCATGACAAAATCAGGCTTTAGTCTCCTCAGCCCTATGACCAAGTGCTGGTGGATGAATCTTTCCACTTGGAAACAATGAGTCTTTTGGCCAGAAAACAACAAAAGGTGATCATCTGCAGATGGCATTTGTCCAAAGGGGCATCCACCGTAACCACTCCAATCAAAGTGGCCAAGGGGTCAGGGTGCACAATGGTCCCACAGATCCTGGAGTGCGCATAAAAAATAGAACACCAATACCTCTGTATTTTCGGGCACGTCCAGAAGATGCGAAGAGTGGCGGGTGATTGTCTGCATTCACATTCACATGTTGGGTCAAATTTCGGTTTAGATTTAGATCTGTCCTTGGACCAATGCAGACGGTGCAACGCTTTCAGTTGGATGACACTGTGTCACACAGATCAAGAATTTGTGACAGTTCTATAGAATCTTGCACCAGACCTCCTCCGACCCAAGTATGTTTTAGAAAATCCAGACTGGCCCGATGGTCCTCGTTTTTTAGAAGCTTGGTTGTTAGGGTTAGGTAACCAATCATACATAAAATAAACATAAATACTTAAGTGTCATCTAGGAATTTGTTGCCTCTAAACAAGTGTTTAACATTTACTGCTCTGTCTCTTATTCAAATGAAAAATCTCTCAGATCATCCAAACACTTTCTGCTGGAGTCTAGATCAGTCCGATAGAGATTGCTGCAGCAGCCCTAAAGCAGTGGAACAACATCGCTGTTGACTTTATTAATGGCTAAAACACGTTTATTTAGCTAAGCATGTAATTGCATGTCATGTGTGGAACTTTTTTTTTGCCTTGAATGGTTTTTATATTGTTCCTTTTTTATTTGATAGATTTTTCTTTTTTCTTCACTTATTTTATAATGTGTTAATTTATTTATTTTAATTTGAGTGTTTTTCTGACTGATTTGTTGTACAGCACTTTTGTCTACTGGTTGTTCAAAATGTGCTCATTAACTAATTAAGGAGTTTTGAGTAATGAACACTTCTAAAGTCTTGTTTTGTTTTGTAAAACTAAAAAAGGGCAACAGACTAGAACAGTCTCTGTGAAGATGGTTCTGAAATCAAAACTCTGACTAATAAAGCTGTAAATTTCAAACTTACAACATGAAAAGAAAAGAAACCTCTCATCCATATACAACCGTGTCCTCGGGGGTTAAATAACATGTCCAGCTGCACAACTGGCAGCAGCTCAGCTGCCTGTGTGATGCCAAAGGAGGAGTTCTGTCAATAAATGTTGGGGCTTTTGAAGCTCTGATCATCACACTGTTAAAGCGGAGAGGGTCTGGCTGATGAAACTGCTTGAAAATGTCAGCGAGGCGCTCTTGGTGTCTCAAACCTCACGTTTCTTGAGGAATTGTGTTTTGTTATGAAAAAATAGACTAGAATAGAAGTTAAACTGTTTCTGGGACCAGATCACAAAGGGGAGCATCTCCAGTAGTACAGAAAATGTGTGTGTAGATGATCAGACACACACATTTGTACTATTCCCTTAAAGATGTACAAATCAGAAAAATGTGTCATTATTCTAATCATAAAATTGTCTGCTGTTGCCTGCTTATGCTTACCCAGTGGGATGCCATCACAGAGATGGACGAGCAGAACCGACCTATTCACACCTTCCAGGTTTGCCACGTGATGGAGCCCAACCAGAACAACTGGCTGCGTTCCGGATGGATCCAGAGACAAGCTGCACAGCGGGTCTGGACCTTATCGCTCATTCTTGTTTGGAAAAATTGTCTGAAATCTGTTTTGTATGAAGTCATCTTGGAGTTGGGCCTGTGGTTGTGACATTTTCTAAACTCTGAGATAAGACCTCGCTCCCTGCAGAAAACTCAGGCTTCCACTTTATCACAAAAGGAAAATAACAAGCAGATTTACTTTATAGCATCAAAAAATGCAGCTTCTTCTTGTACAGTTCTCTTGGAATCAATTCAGGGAAGCTTATAATAACTTAAAGAGGTGGAAGTAAATTTCCTGCAGAAATGGGAAAGTTTTTTGCTACATGTGCTATTTCATAAAATGCTGAAAATAATATGAAACTTGGTGCATTTAATTTGCATCTCATCTTTTATCGTTTTTTATCTTCCATTTGTGCCAAAGCAGTTCATTTCATTGCTATAATTAGCTGTTTTGATGTTTGCACACAGTATAATTTAATTTAATTTGTAAAATTACAGCACAATTTGTGCCACTATTAGTATAATTAAATCAAGAAACGTAAATAGAAGAAGAAGAAAGTATCATTTCTATAGCGCCTCTCAAGATAAAAATCACGAAGCGCTTCAAAAATCTGGGTTAGGGCCAAACCAAAAAGGTTTGCTATGAATATATGATTGACTTAAAGTGTCTAAAGCCTAAAATCCCTTATTTATTCATGTTCCTAGGTATATGTAGAGCTGCGATTCACCTTGAGAGACTGCAACTCAATTCCCTGGGTCTCTGGCACTTGCAAGGAAACCTTCAACCTCTTTTACCTGCAGACAGATGATCCTCTTCCTGCAGCAACGCGATTTCGGCCAATTGACTACGCCAAGGCATGTGTCTGCGCCAGGTCAAAGGTCTCTGTTGTTGTCCTGCTTTAGAAGTGAAACAAAGATTTGTTGTTGGATTGAAGGTGGACACCATAGCAGCAGATGAAAGCTTCACACAGACGGACCTTGGAGACAGAGTTCTCCGCCTAAATACCGAGGTCAGGGAGGTGGGACCAGTGACACAGAAGGGCTTCTACTTGGCCTTTCAGGACGTGGGAGCTTGCATCGCTCTCGTGTCCGTCAAGGTCTGTAAACAAAATGGCTCGACAGCCTTCAGGATTCAAAATTTCACACCCTTAAAAGCAAAACGTGAACTTTATGTTGCTCTTTCTCGCATCAGGTGTTCTACAAGCGCTGCCCGTCCACTTTAAGGAACTTGGCAGCTTTTCCTGAAACAGTGCCACACATGGATTCATCCTCATTGGTAGAGGTGAGGGGAGCCTGTGTGGAGAACGCAGAAGAGAGGGACACACCAAAACTGTACTGTGGTGCTGATGGAGACTGGCTGGTGCCGCTGGGCCGCTGCATCTGCAGCATCGGCCACGAGGAGATGGATGGCCACTGCCGAGGTGAGAAGTTGCGTGAGACGTTTTGTTGTTGTGTGACGTTTGACTAATTCAGCTCACAATGTACAAAACTGCACAGACAGGAAAACAAAGAAAGAACACTGTCAACTAAGGGATGACATCACGCTTCTGGATCTCTTGGGTTTTTCTCGAGATTTGCATGAGTTTGAGTTTATGTTTATGTTTATGTATTTAGCAGACACCTTTGTCCAAAGCGACTTACAAGTTAAAATCGGCATGTTGCCCTTGAGGCTAACAGCAACAATAACAACAACAATAACAAACAATTTCCAGTCAGTCGTAGGTGGCAGTGAGGCAGCATGATGAATCATGGAGAGGAAGGAACAAGGAGTGGACAGTAGAGAGGGGGGGCGGGTGCAGGGAGGGTGCTAGTTTAGAAGATGCTCTCTGAAGAGCAGGGTCTTCAGGAGTTTCTTGAAAGTTGAAAAGGAAGCCCTTGTTCTGGTAGTGCTTGGAAGGTCATTCCACATTTGTGGAACGATGCATGAGAAGAGTCTGGATTGTCCTGAGTGTGGTGTAGGCACTGCGAGCTGATGATCCTGTGATGACCGGAGCGGCCGGGCCGAGACGTAAGCCTTTGCAAGAGGATTCAGGTGGATGGGAGCCGTACCATCTCGGACTTTGTATGCTAGTGTTAGCTATTTGAATTTGATGCGTGCCGCTAGCGGCAGCCAGTGGAGCTCAGTGAACAGAGGGGTGACGTGTGGCTGATTGAAGACCAGACGCACTGCTGCGTTCTGGACCATTTGAAGAGGTCTCACAGTACAGGCTGGAAGACCAGTTAGAAGGGCATTGCAGTAATTGAGGCAGGAGATGACAGTAGATTGCACCAGGAGCTGGGTGGCATGTTGTGTTAGGTATGGTCTGATCTTTCATATGTTATACAGCACAAAGTGGCATGAATGAGCAACAGAGGCAACATGATCTTTAAAGATCAGGTGTTCATCAATCACAACACCCAGATTTCGAACTGCCTTTGAAGGAGCCAGAGATAGGAAGTCATTTTGGATTGAGATATTGTGCTGTATGGATGGTTTTGCTGGGATGACAAGTAGTTCAGTTTTAGAGAGGTTGAGATGGAGATGATGGGATTTCATCCATTTTGATATGTCAGAGAGATGGTTTGATATTCATGCAGAGACAGTGTGGTCGTCCAGTGGAAATGATAGATAGAGCTGGGTGTCGTCTGCATAGCAGTGGTAGGAGAAGCCATGTGATTGAATGATCTCACCCAGTGTGGTGGTGTATATGGCAAAGAGATGAGGTCCTAGTACAGAGCCCTGGGGGACTCCTGTGGCAAGATGGTGCACGGTAGAGGATTGTCCAAGCCAAGATACACTGAATGATCGTCATGTGAGGTACGATTTAAACCAGGTATGTGCTTTCTCTGTGATGCCCATGCTAGAGAGAGTGGACAATAGGAAGCTATGGTTGACAGTGTCAAATGCAGCCGATAAGTCGAGCAGGATAAGCACTGAGTTTAGTGAACTGATATTTGCATCGCTGTCCGATCTATCCACCGCCCTTGCTTCACTTTTTCCTTGTTAGCTTCTCTCCTTTCGCCACTAACCATTTAGTTTATTCTTCACTTCTCCTTTGTTTTATTTGTCTTCTGTTTTTCCATTGCATTTACATTGTTAGGGGATATAATAAACCATGCAAATACAGGAATATAATGTCACCCAATGTTTTATTTTTTGACATTTAAAAATCATTACTTTTAGTAAGAGCTCCCTAGACTCCACTTTGGTTTAAATACAGGGAAAAAAACACAAGTGCAATCAACCTTTTCTTTTTAAAGCTATTTGGTGTGTTTTTAGTGCATCTCTTCAGCATCACTTAACATTTACAGTACGGACAATTACTGGAACAGAGAAATGATGATAAATACCACAGCTCTTTAGCACATGGCTTTTTGGGGTGCCTCTTCTCTAACTGGTCCTTTCAGCATTACCTAAATGCAGCTCATAGTGAGCTGAACACATTAAAAACAACTTTCAGGAACCGTTGACTTGATCCAAATAGTCTTCTGGCCTGGTTTCTCATTTAGACTGTGCAGAGTGCAGCCAGACTGGGAGCTAGCTGGCTAATTGCCTTCATTTGTTAGTTTCACAGATAATTTAGCTTGCACCTTGTCTTTTCCAAAACTCCCCCACACCCCCCTCCTGCTTTTTGTCTTTCCTTCCTTGCTTGTGTAATTAAGGCAGGAGCTAAATTGAGCCACACCGCATGATTACAATGAAAGTGCTTGTGTTTCTAACCACATTTTGCAGACTTACAGCAGTCTCAGCCGGCTGGGGTAAAATTCATGTTGCACCCCCATGGATATGTGGTTGCTCAGGGTATTACAGCTCGAGCAGTCATTAGTAGCTGATATGTAGGACAGTCTGTAATATCTTCTTTAGCTGCTCCGCGGGTGTAATTTTTCTTCTTATCTTCTTGTCTTTTATCTGCTCCTTATTTTTCTCTTCACTCTCACTCCCATCTGAAGTTAAACATCGCTGAAGCCTGTCGGGAGAGATTATCAATGAGACTGTAGCTTGGGAACAGCTCAGCATCTCTTACATACGGCCCAGATCTGTGCTGTCCCTGTTCACTCCCAGTAACAGCATTGGTTTCTGTGGATGGTTCTGCAGCTGCAACACCACACATGAACCTATGTAGCTGTGACCCACTTAGCACTGGGTTTAACGATTTCATGGGAAGATTTGGGAAAAGTAAAGCCTTGTGTCATTTTCAATTGTAAAGTTGATGCAAAGTGTTAAAAAAAGAAAGAAGAAGTTCAGTTTTGATGCGAGAGATGAATGGTTTCAGACAAAAACTGGAAAAACAAATAAAACAGATCACTTAGATTTCTGACATTGCCTTAATCTCACTGCTGATTTGTTTAGCTGAAAAAAAAATCTGTCAGATTTCACAGCCAAAAATCATTGCTGAATGAACTAAATGTAAATATCAGCAACATCAACTCTGGTTCATCCATAGTGGTAGGTGCCATTTTTAATGCTTAGGTCATTTATTTAAATGAAACCAATTTGTAATTGGACCATAGGAATAATTATCAATTCATTTTTCAACTCTTGGAGCTAAAGTCCTGCAGCAGAACAAATACGTTTACTTTAATAGGATTTTGTGATCTTACACGATTCCGTGAACCGACTGTAAAGCTAAATGAAAATAATTCAAATCCTCAATATGACCTTTTTTGTAAAGATTCCCTTCTTGTGGAATCACTGCTGTGATTTTACAGAAACTAGATGTCATGGTCTGTGTCTGCGTCTCCCCTCATGTGTCTCCTTGTGTCCTCCATTCATCTCTAGGTGCTCCTTTTGTGTCTTCTAGCGTCTTCATGTGTCATGTCTGCATCTTCCTCATGTGTCTCCTGGTGTTCGCCATTTGCCCCTAGATCTTCAGCCCTCTAGATTTCCCTCCTCAGACATCCCTCTCCCAGCTCCTGTGCTCTCTTGGCCCCCTCTTAGCCACACCCCTGTAGTTTTCTTTCTGTAGTGTTTTCCTTTAGTATCGCGTCCCCTTAGAATATTAGTTATGGTTCATGCCTTCTGGTCTTGTGTTTTTCTCTTAGGTCATTTTCCTTTGTTACAGCCTTTCATGATTTAGTGTGTTTTTCCCACCAGTGTTTTCTTCCTCCTCCCTGATTTAGTAATTGTGTTCACCTGGTCCCTCTCCCCACACACCTGCAAGTCATCTCCCTCTCATCTTCCCAGTCTGTATAAGCCCTGTCTTGTCTCTGTGTGGTTGTCGGTCCATTGTGGTATTCTGTCAGCCTTCTCTAGTCTCTAGTATTTTGGATCTCAGTCTTTTCTAGTTTCTTGTGTTTTTGTCTCTAGTTTTGATTTTGGACATATTGGATTTCTGTCTTCCAGCTCTTTTGGATTTATTTTTATTTTGGACTCATCCTACAAATAAAAGGATTTTCTTTATGTCATCTCCTGCCTTGTGTCATCCTGGGTTCCTGCATTTTGGGTCCTAACCATCCTCGAATCGTGACACTAGAAAGCAGAGAGACTGACAGCTTGCAGATTTTTTTTTTATCCATCCAATAATAATTGATATAAAAGTCTGTGTTGGAATTCACAAACAGAATTCTTTAACTCATTATCATTAGTTGAAAGGAATGGTCAGTGGTAACAACACAGCGTGCTCCTGTAATTAATGATTTATTGCTCACATGGTTTATGTCCTTTTTTTAATGAATAATTTCCAAAAGCCTGTCAGAGCTTATGCTGGCATAAAGATGTGCACTTTGCAAGTAGTTGCAGGAAGTTTAGGCGTGAACTTTCCATGACTTCTGCTTCCTCCTCGTTTTCATTTTGGAGCACTGCTTCAAAGGGTGCTGTGATCAAAGCTGTCTGAGCGGGAGCGTGGGGAAAAAGCAAAAGAGGAGAGCGAGGGAGCAAGAGGATGAGAGAGAGAGCCAGAGAGAGAATAGGGAAAACCCCAGCGCTCCCAAATATAAGCAGAGCTCAGCACTAACACGTCCATCTTTCCCTCCCAGCTGCCTAAACAAAGGCATTACTGCTTATCAAACCCTGCGTTCCTCCCCAACAGCATTCGGCCAGACTGTTCTGACATCTCAATCCAGCACTTTATTATTCTATTGCTTTCATTCAGTGTCACCCACAGGAGGATTACTCAGAGATAGGCTGGTTATATCATGACCTAGATAAGGGAACATCATAGAGCCAATTCTGTTTGTTCCGCATCCTTTCGTCATGGCGCCGCGTTAAAGGGAGGCGGTGAGCTGCAGGAGTGCGGGAAGCTAATAGAGATGTCTTTTCAAATTTCATTTGAATCAGAGCAGATACTCTGTGAAGACCAAAGGCCCACCAGTCGGATAAGTGATTACACTCAGCGGTGAAATTCAAATATTTTTGGTTCGGCATCAAACTCAGTTGCCACATTCTGTACTCTGATTGTCACTCATAGTCACACAGCCCAATCCTCCTACTGGTGACTAAAGTAAAAGGTGTGAAATCCCCTTCGCTTTGAGAGAAACACAATGTAACAGGTCACGTTTTGACTGAAATTGATCAAAAACACTTGCAGCTTTCTTCCTGAGAACAAACCTGTGACCTTAAATTCAGGTGAAGTGGAACAAAAAATGAGGAAATCAATCATCTCCTGGTTATGCTGGAGTTTTTGTGTCCCCCTTGTCTCTATTAATGACTGTGTTTGACCTCTTAGAGCACAGCCAGACTAGAGCATCACTCATTCTCTATGAACTTCCCATCTGCATATCAAAGCTGAAGGACCAGGAAGGGTAAACATTCACCCTGGTACCATCTGCTTCAGACAACATAAAGAAAACTGGAACCTACGCTAGGAATGATTTAGCATCTCAGATTATAAAAGGATGTTTGCAGAATATCTCAGTCCGGGAGGAGAAAAGGCACATCGTAATGATCTTTTAACCTTCAATAATCAAGTTTTTGTTTCGGTTAAAAACATGCTACCAATCCAAGAGCGATCAGATTATTAACTTAGAATCCTTGAGCCTTGTTGCTGCTGGGGTTTTATTTCTTATTTGAGAATCTTAAGCCTGTACATACCTCGCGATACAAGGCATACGCAGTATTCTCTGAATGAATCGGCTGAGCCTAAAGCAGAGCAGGAGCTTTTTTGATTTAACAAGCTCCAGCGACTGGAGAAACCTAATCTGTCATCATTATCATGGCACTTTGTTGTTGTTTTATGTCTACAGTTTTATTGCCTCGGAGAGAAAAACTGAATTTGCACCAAAAATGTTCCCTTTGACCAAATTGCACAACACATAGAAAAACTCAAACAATTGAGGGTAAACAAGTTGGATTTTATTGTGTGTGTGTGTGTGTGTGTGTGTGTGTGCGTGCGTGCATGCGTGTGTGTGTGTGTGTGTGTAAAATGGTTAAAAACCAAACACTTATCAACACTTGAATATATTGTGAGCCCGAACTTAAACCCTGAATCATCCAAGATAGAAACCTGGACAAGGTCATCCCCAGAAACACTGCCCAGCTCTTCCAAGGGGATCCCAGGGCTTTTCCTGAGATCTCCTCCCAGTGGGACATGCCCAGAAAACCTTAAGGGAAGCAACCAGGGAGTATCCTAATATCAGATTTTCAAAGTTCTACTTTTCCTCTTATCTTCGTGGTTGGGTCCAGCCACACAGAGGAAGCTCTTTTTATCTTTTTGTATGAAAAATCAGTCCTTTTGATCATGATCTTGCATGGTGGTAGCCGTGAATACTGTATATAGTCTGGCCACGACCCATAGACACACACCATGCCGGCAAGTCAGCGTAATACTACCACCATGGCGTTTCTTATGAAAGCGGAAATTGTGCGGCTTTCGTGCTGCCAAGCTTGGTAGTAATATTACCACAATACAGGACTTGTGAATTAAGATTACACTTTGGCCCGTGGAGACGGGGCAACTATATTGAAAATTAAAGTAAATACTAGCACGAGTTTTGCTTTTGTTAACAGAATCAGCTGAGATTATAAACTGGTGCGATGTAGAGCTCCAGGGCTTCTCTCCGTTAGATCTGGAGCTCAGATCACCAGACAGTTCACGGAGGCAACGGAGGACAGACACTTTTAGGAGCGGCTTGTGAAAGAAACATAAGGAGCTCGACTTCGATCACAATAAAAAGCATGTTATGTTCAAGCTAGAAGGAAATCTGTGACAGCACAGAGACCACCCCCACACCCCCTATACACCGCCATTGGGTAATTTTTTGTGAAAAGCACACGATTGCGCCACATAGCCGCCACAGTCCGACCACTTATAAATGACCAAAAGCTCTCTGATACCTCAGCTTTGCAGCAAATCGGTGGCATTGTTTTATGAAAGAGGCTAGAATTTCATTGTAGGGGTGGAATCTATAGTTGTCTTTCAAATGGTCTCTTCTTGCAATAAGAGCATGCTAGGACCAATCAGAACGACGAACATGACATATCCATTGTAATAAAAAGCAGTCAACAGGAATATCCACCATACACCATCAAAGATGTAGGAGAAAAAAGTAGGAAAAGCAAGTCTAAATTGCCCAGTGTTGAGGCAAAAGCTGTTTCCAACGAGTGCCATTTGTTAGCTGCCACCATCTTTGGAGTTTTTCTGCATTGTGCCCAAAGTAGTTTTACATACACAGTGCACTGTGATTGGCCAGGCCTAGATTTAGCCGAACCAATAGTAGACCTGCTGAGGCTACAATGCAACAAAAAACAACCCACGGAGCAGTCTTTTTTTCCTTCTTCTATGGTTTGTGTGGATTTCTAGGCTAGCATGGTAGCGCAGCTACTTTTGCCTCCCAGCAACAAGGTTGCAGGTTTGAAACCCAGTTGCAGCATTTCTGCATGAAGTTAACATGTTTTCCCCATGAGTTTTTGCCCACATACTTTGGTTTCCACAGACTGAAAACATACATGTAAGGTAACTTCTCATGTTCATGGGGGGAAGTGGAATGTACATGGACCAGCAGACAATGGTTCCCCACTTTCCTCAGCTTTTCTTTACTACGACAAACCAGATCAAAATCTTCATTATTGAAGACGAATTGCTGATTTCTATCCCTATTTTTCCCTCTTTCCTGTTGTTACTCACCAATATGACAGAACGGTATCTGAACTCTTCCTTTTCTGACAGAGACTCACACACGATCAACAGGCAGCATTCCACCTTTTCACAACTGAGAACCAAGGGCTAAGACATGGAAGAGCTGACCAGCAGTAAACTTCCTGAGTAAACACATGCTGAATCTCATCACTTTATGATACCAACAGAATCACATCGTCTGCAAAAGGCTGAGATGAGACCGTAAAGTTCCTAAACCAAACTTTGTCTTCTCCATGACTCCACCTTCAGGTCCTGCAGGGTGTCCTACTGGCCCACAGAACAGTTTTATTTATGCCACCAAGTCTGGGAGATGCCTCAAACATTTCTATTTGTTAAAATAAAATTAGCATTTTATTTTAAAGTGCTTTTACAACTTATTTACCTCTAGTTTAATGCTTTTAGTTTAAACTCTAGTTTTTACACATGTAGAAGCCATGGTAAAATCACTACATGCACACATTCTGTATTAAACATTTCTGCATTAAAACAGACAGATTTTAAATAACTACTATTTGTGCTTCATCCTGTACTACTGGAATGAAGTCACAGGCTCAATCTCTAATGGGTTTCCATCTTCTGATAAGCAAAAAAATGTGTCGGAAAGGAAAGCAGGAGGCCACATGGCAAAGGAGAATCACCTGCTATATTGGAAGAAAGATGAAAAACAAGGAAAAAGGTGAAAAGTGAGGCAGAGCGAAACAGTCGGAGAAATGTTGACTGGATAAGAAAAAGGAGGATTGGCTGTGCTGATTGAAAGACATGGTAAAGTGAAATTGTAATCATGGTGGTAAAAAGTGGGGCAATGCAAAGGTGGACAAAGGAGAATCCCTCAGTCAGCAGAAGGAAGTGAATAAAGTAGAGAGATAGGCTGCAATTATTATTTTACTGAGCTTCACTTGTAAGGTAATGTCCCATGGCTTACTGGCCTGATTATACACACACACACACACACACACACACACACACACACACACACACACACACACACACACACACACACACACACACACACACACACACACACACACACACACACACACACACAAACACACACACACACACACACACAAGAATGAACCTGCTGATGGATCCATCTTTTACAAAATATTTACAATCAGACTTTTTGCTGTTCAATCTTTTCAATTATAAATGGTTTTAGACTTTTAATAATTCAGTCTAAAGTTTAATAAAAGTTGATGAAAAAGATTTGCTTTAATGGAGACATTTACGGTTAACAGAGCTTATTGAAATTTGGCTCCTAAAATGTTGTTTTTTCTGTCTTTTGCCTTTTTGTTCTTTTTTAATCACTCCTGCCTCCAATTCTATGCTCTTTCTTTCTTATTTTGGATCTGAAAACATTGATAGAAATGTCTAATAAAATAAACTTTATGGGTTGTTCATGAGGTATTTTGTCAGAGAAGCGTTCTTGTAAAGATCACTAACTTTTTCTGCGTTTTTTTTACTCTCCAGCTTGTAAGGCTGGCTTTTTCAAAGCGAATGCTGGGAACGTCAAATGCTCCAAGTGTCCTCTGCGTAGCTCCAGCCACGACCAGGCGGCCACCATCTGCCACTGCGATAAAGGCTTCTACAGAGCCATCAAAGACCCTCCAACGATGGCCTGTACACGTTAGTACGACTTTAAATCAAAAATATCTACTTTTGAACGTTTACCGCACTCAACCATACCACCTTTTTACCATCCATATATTCTGTATTTATTTTTATGCTAGTAATTCAGATTTCTAAAACAAAATCCCCTAACCCTAATCCTAACTCTAACTATTAAAAGTTGCTTTACCATACTGCAGTTTAAGCAAAACTTTGCTATTATTTTCCAGCTACTCCAGCAGAATAGATGCACCTTGCAGTGAAAAAGTTTATTCCAACGTTTTATTGCATCACCTTATCTAAAGCGCAGACTGCCCTGTGCATTTTTTGGCTGTCACACAGAACTGCTCATGATAAACTGTGGCGCATTGTACAGTCCAAAATGTCAGTGAACCAAACTGTGCGACATTTCGCTCTAGCAGGACGAGCTAACATCACAAGCGCACCACCTACACTAAAAACTGAACACTAACCAAAACAACTGTGCCGAAAAGAAGAAAAAAAAAAGCACTGCCGGTAAGTCTTCTTTTGTTAGACTCCGACCCAAACTCCAAAAAGGAGCAACCCACAGGTCCCTGCATGTAGCTTCCACTGTTGCTAATTTTACGCTCGTATTGTATTCTCGTCCTTAGCTGTTCGCATCACTCCCTGGGTGCATTTTCATTGGTTGATTGCAGATGGAAGTCATAGGTTTTCAAGCAGTTCTTCAAGACTGTTGGAGGCTGACTTTGGTCGTGAGTGTTCTCAGTAGGCTGTCGCAGAGCCGGTCACACTGGACAACCATTACAAATCACCCTCACTTTCATCGTTTTTGTCACATTTCTGTTTACGATGAGAGACTTGTCTAGGATGGCCGAAAAATGCACAGTGTGGACCGGACTTAACTCAGAAAAATGTTGTTGTAGTGTTATTGGTTGGTTGCCTCTTTAACCCAAGTCCACACTTTGAGCTGGCAGTCCACATTAGAGCCATCTGATTATATGAGATCATTATGGAGTATATTGTGATGATGAGCTACTAAAACTCAGAGATCACAAAACTGTCTATTTGTTTTCCATCACCCATCTTTGCCGTTACCTCTGGATGTGTCTACGGGCACACAAAGTTTTTCTTCTCAGCTGAGTCACACCATTTGCTAGTCTGCTTTTGTCAGCATGACAGAAGCACTGATGAACCAGTCAGAGCAAGTTTTAGGCAGCATGTTGGTTTGTTTAGCTGGGATGCTTGATAGAGCAGAGGAAAGCTATTTAATAGGATTCTGAGACATTTAATCCTGTTTTTATGCTTAAAAATGTTATGCTTTTAAATTGATGTATTTTATTGTTAAATAACTTCAAAACATCTGAACTGTTGAAAAAGAAAAAAGATTCATGATAAAAATGTGATTGTATTTTTTGCCCATGTCACCCACCCCTAGTCCACATCCAAAGGGTTAAGTTCCCTTCTATGGAGCAGACTACAGGTCATCCTCTGATCTGGGATGTCTGGTTCAATTATCGTTCACTCACATTTTTACAAGCGTTTCGTCTGGATGGTGGTTTGTGTCTCTGTGTGTTTTTAAGAAGCCGTCATTTTGTTTTACACTATAATTCAGTCACCAGAGACACTTAAAATCAGTTTTAAGATCTACTCAGAGATATTTTTTGGTATTAAAAGAACAGCTGGATTTAGAGTTGTCTTGTGAGACTTGTGGGTAGTCACTGGTCAGTGTGCTTCCTGTAGCAGACAGCAACAAATGTGCTGTCAGGTTGCTAAGACAAGATGGTTTCTGGATAGACAGGGAACACTTGACACGTTTCAGATGATGGTGACAAGAAAGATGCTTTTTTTTTTACAGGCAAAACAACCGAAAATACACGTGCGCGCGCGCACACACACACACACACACACACACACACACACACAGCTGACACCTTTTTACACTAAACAGATTTTACAAGGTATATATAAATTTTTTCTTAATCTAATGTTTCTTAGAAACACTTTCATAATTTAACGGGCCTCATGAAAACAACAAAAAGTTTGTAAATTTATGGTTACATGAAATATTTTAATGCAATATTTATTTCTTTGTAAAAATACATTTTTAAAGTAACAGTGAGTAAATCCCAGCTCCTCTGCCCTACTGGTTGATTGTGGAATTACAACTGTCATAAACAACCCTGCAGCAGCCTGCTGTATAGCGCTAACAATGAGCTAACACTAACATGAGCCACCTAATACTAAAATAAACCACAAAGGAAAAAGAGCCACTCTGTAGGACAAAAACTATTACCTGCAAGTCTAGTAGCAACAAAGCCAGGTCATCATCAGTCCATGATTTTGTAGCCCCCTTCAGCTTCTACAAACTAGTGTAGGCCACACCGATGTTCACTTGGATTTTACCATTTTGCTTAGCATCCAAAGACATCACTCTCTTACTTTTACTTTCAGGCTCTGCCACAATACCAACAGAAAAGGCAAACTTCCTTCTTTTTCTTCTTTTTGTGATGTTTAGAGGGAGCCTAAGTCATCTACTTCTGGACCATGGGTCTCTGGAAGAATGAAAAAACAAATGCAAGTCAATGGGGCTAAAAATGTTATTTTTATTTTCTTTCTCGCCATTTGTTACAGTATATGCCATGGATTTTACATATGATGTTTGTGAATTAAAAAAACACATTTTGATGCTAAGAGCGTGCTTATTTTCAAACAGAGGGAGACGTTATTTTAGGTTTTGTGTTAAAATATGTCCAGGACTACAAATGTGCATCATCAATTTAACATCATTGAACCAGACATGAAGAAAAGCAGAGGAAAAACGGCTGAGTTCAGCGAATTTCAAATCCTTCATTCAAGAGGAAAGAATCACCATAAATCTGGTCGTGTGGTAAGTAACAGCTACACTAGGGGAGAGGAGATTCTGTGGTGATGTCATATATTCAATTCAGTTCAATTCAAATTTAATTCAAAAATACTTTATTAATCCCAGAGGGAAATTCGATTGTTTCAGTACACACAATTCCAAGATCAGACATACATACATGACTAGAATTGGTGACTGTGGTCAATTGCAACACGAGTCATGCTACCTTAACAGATCAAGAGGGTTTATATGAGGATAGAGTCAGGGGGAGGGAAAAAGACACTTCAGTTACCCACAACAGAGAGGACAGCTTTGCTATGCAAAAAATAACCTCAGATAGATATGCACTCAGACTTCAGATGATACACAACATAAGTGTCCACTAGGTGGGGAGGTAGGGTTGGGACTCTCCTCACTTCAGTGCGTGCAGCCGCATGGAGCAGTGCTCATCACCTCCATTTGGACAGGGGAGGGAGATAATGGGTTAGAGAGCACATTGAATCCTAGATATGGTTCCACGGCCTTCACCGGTCACAGTCCCACCCAGGCTGGGATAGGGAGAAAGAGTTTCCATAGCGACAGCAACATTCCAAATTTCTTCTGAGGGGAGTTTTCACTTCAGCCTCACAGGCTTCAAGGGCACCCGATTCAGATAACAAGAATTTTTTGGGGTACAGGCAGAGATAATTTCCTCTCTGCCTTAGAGTTCTGTCAGTCTTCAACCCCTCCAGGTCCCAATAATGCCATTATCAAACTATTCCAATCTGTGCTGATCCATCAACTCTCTCCTTAATCGAATCCACCTTCTGTGCCAGAGCCTGAATCTCAGCCAAAGTTCCAAGCTTACGACTCATCTTGACAATTATATGAGTCTGTGAGTTTACAGCATGATGCATTCCATCCCTGAGCTCCGGAATCAAGCCAATATTCCTCGAAAGCGCATTAATTTTCCGGTATGCCAAGTATCCGCTCAGGCCAAACAGCAGGAATCCCGACACCAAAACGACAAATATCCAAACATCTTCAGAATCCTCTACAGACAGTTGAGAGAGGCAGATCAAGTTCCACTGTTTCCAGGAGTCCATGATATATCCAGCTGGCTCTGTCCCAGAGGGGCATCCAGGAGCCCGTTCTCCCCTTCTCATCGTAGAAAAAATGTTGTCAATCGCGTTGAATGACCAACTGATTAGATCCATATTTAATAATTTCCAGTTTGCAGAAAAAATGCAGAGAAGCGCCGTGTGCAGGCAGACAGGGCAGAGAGCCTTGGGAGGAGCAGGGAGGGAGAGGATAAAAAAGCGTCTGTACTCTCCAAGAGCCGGTAGAAAAACACAACCTACATGCGATGTACCGACATCTGATTTTTAGTCATGCCATTTACAAACTTTTATAAGCTGATGACAGGCGTGGTCGAAACACCCATCATTAGTTTTAATTTAAACTGAAGTACAACATATGTGTGATCCAGGGCGTAAGGCAAAGCAGGTTAGAAAATAACGTTTTTAGCCCCGTTGACTTGCATTCATTTTTTAAATTCTTCTGGGACCCATGAGCCAACCGGTAAGGGAAGCGACTTAGGCTCCCTATAGAAAAAAGCTAACCGCTAGCATTACTGCTAACAGCCATAAAGCAGGTAAAGATCGCCCTCTAGAACACCTACCTGCTTCACAAACCTATCAAGTGTGGTTTTTGGTCAGCAGAGAGCTGCAGAGTTGTGTCAATTATGAAACAGTTCAAGTTTCTAACCCAAAAGTCAAGTTTAAAGAACTGACTGTTGTTACTTTAAGAATTACTTACTTTTAATATTATGCAGAAACTTAAGCAGCTTTTTAGCCTCATTTAGGTGCATTTATTTTTTTCTAAACAACTAAAAAGACTCATTAGCAGGTGTGAAACTGTCTGACAATTATAAGCATGAAATTGACAATTAGCATGGTGGCATAAGACACTTCACACCCACATGCCTTCACATAGATATTTAGAGAGACATTCAGAAAGCTTCAGATTTTCTGCCAAGTCAGCTCATCTTTGAAAATAAAAAAAGACGCGTGGACTGCCAGAAATTGGTGTGTGGAAAAATTGCTGGAATTAGGACTACACGCTGAAAGACAACCACCCACTCAGCTTAGACACCCAATGTACTTGCTAAGAATTAAATCCGTATTGGCAGCTAATTTATCTAATTGTTTTGATCGTTGTGACATTTCTTTTTCCCTCCTCAGGGCCTCCATCGGCTCCCAGGAACCTGGTCTCACTGATCAATGACACCGCTCTCTTCTTACAATGGACCCCTCCCGCTAACACAGGAGGAAGAAACGACATCACCTACAACATTCTGTGCCAAAGGTGTGATGGAGGCGACAGCGGTGAAACACAATGTGAGCCATGTGAGCCAGACCTGCACTTCATCCCTCGCCCACTTGGTATAACCGGCACCTCTGTGGCGGTGCTGGATTTTGCGATGCACGCAAACTACACCTTCCACGTGGAAGCGGTGAATGGTGTCTCAGAGCTGGGTGTGGCTGCGCGCTCGCTAGCAAACATTACCGTCAACACACACCAAGCTGGTAAGCTGCAAAGCTTCTCTACTTACTGCTTTAGTTTGGTTTCCTCTGGTGTAATCCAGCTATGAACGGTCACATTTCTCCTCTACTTTGTAAAATATTTGTCTATACCGGCCTGAAACCTGAAATTGAGTTGCAACCAATCGTTCATTACCACGATATGATTGTAATTTTTCGATAGGTTGGATTGGTTAGTTTTTTATTCAGTCGCCTCTTTGTTTTTATTTGAGAAATCATCTTCTTTTGGTTTCAGTGCTTCTCCCTGTGTCATCTGCTTATTGTTTCCCTCTGCTCCTCTGTCATTCAGCCTCATTCCTCATCTGTAATCAGCTCACACATTTCTTTTCCTGCAGCTAGTCTTCCCTGCAAATATGTAGACGTCCTGATTACTCAGAGACTCACTGTTTTCCTGCTCTGTTAGCAAAATGTGAACCCATCCATCCTGCAGCTGGTGCCTATCTCCAGCCATCATCAGACGGGAGACGGGGGGCACCCTGAACAGGGCTAAAATATTAGAAAATAATTCTTTGACAATAATAATTCAGCGTAAATCTACAACTGAGTAACTTTTAAAATCAAGCCAATTTAACATTGCTGCCCCGGCTGATTGATTTTTGAACAGACAAGAATATAAGTAAAAAATTATCAGTTTTCAAGATATTGAGCAAATACTTTATTTAGTAGTTGCTAAAAATGTGTCATGACACAAACTTTGCTAACAAATCATGCAAGATGTGTCAATTTAGCCTGAGGTCACACCTAATATGACTAAAGCCGGAGCCACACTGTGCATTTTTCAGACGTCTTAGATAAATCCCTCATCGTGAACAGAATTGTGTCAAAAATGGTGATTTGCGAGTCTGTGGCTCTGCAACAGCTTACCGCACCCTCACGACCAACGTCAGCCTCCAACAGTCTTCAAGCACTGCTTGAAAACCCATGACTCCCATCTGCAATCAACCAATGAAAATACACGCAGGGAGTGATGCGAACGGCTAGTGACGGGAGTACAATGCAAGAGTGGAATAAGCAACATTAGCAACAGTGGAAGCTACATGCAGGAACTAATAAAAAAATGTTAACGGCAGCATTTTTTTCTCTTTTCAGCTTTGGCGTTTTGGTTAGCTGTCAGCTATTACTGACGTATGCCTTTCAGGGGGGCACTCATGACGTAGCGCGTCCTGCTAGAGTGAGACGTTGTGCAATTTGGCTCACTGAAATCTTGCGCCGTACAATGTGCCACTTTTCTGGAGTTCTCACAGTGTGACATGAGCAGTCCTGTGCGACGGCTGAAAAACACACAGTGTGGTTTGAGCTTAAAACGGCTAAAACTTTATCCGTTTAGAACGTAAGAGGCTTTTAGCTTTGACTCCTGGCATTAAAGCGGGTGAGTGATATGCATTACATTCAAAAAATGGTAGATCTTTATTAACGATTTAGCTTTCACTGAGTATATTCGTCTTTGAGTCTGCATTTTAGATCCTCAAATACAAATCATTACAGCGGATTAAACAAGTTTTGCATTTGGGCAAAAAATAATCTCAGGGTTGGATTATTTTCTAGAGGCATTTGACTATCATTAACTGTAAATCCTTATTTAGGTTTGTTGCATATGTTTTGAGGCATTTTTCTGGGATGAACTTGCAAGATGTGAATAAATAAAACAAACTGAACAAATATAAGAACATTTTAATCTACTTTATAACTGCTCAATTGGTCCTTTTGGCCAGATGCTCAAAACTTTGTCTGCTTTTCTTTTGGAAGTTACTTTTAATTGCTTTATTGTAGGCTTGCATTTAAATAAATTTACAACCTTAAGTGCGTATACTGTTAAATTATCTGATCCATGTTGAATAATTTGGTGTTTGATTGCATAATGTGTCTTTCTGCTTCCTGCATCTTCTGCCTCCACCTCTACATCCACCTTAATGAGCCAGTGCGTGAAACACACTTCTGACCCTTGAAGAGCTGACAGAGCCATTGTGAGATGAACTTAATCCTAATTAGAATAAGCCAGCTGACCTGAGGTTTGCTGCGCCGCAAGTTCACAAAAAGAGCATTGTCCTAGGTTTATATTAGTTAAAATAAGACATCTGCAGCCTGAGACTTAAATCTCAAGGGCAAGGAAATTGATAGAATAATCAATGAAGAAGGTCAAGATGAAGGATGGGAAAAGGTGGGTTATGAAGTAATACTGGAGTGTATTTTCTCCTATCAACATCTAACATCTAAAGCAAACAAATAATAGACAACTTATGCAGTGGTGCTAAAAGTGTGTATGCAGTGTATGCAACGCATAGAGGCGCCAGGCTGGAGAAGATGCCAAAGTGATGATGCAAAAAATATGTTTAGTCTACATTTCCTGTGTTAAATAACAGGTGAGTATTTGTCCTTTTGTGTAGCTTCAAATTATATAATTATTAACACAGAAGCACGTCAGTGATTAGGCGCGCCTCCGTTTCTTTGCCCCTGATCTCATGGGGTTAAATGTAACGGACATAACCAGCTGTGTTTCTACAAGCAATTCACCCGAGACCCTGTAACGCTAACATTCTAAATGTTGATGTGATGCACTGAAGTAAAAGCAGCAACCATGTTTTTACACGTACTTTGTAACATAAATGAGATTAAATAAGCCCAAATATTATTTTATTAACAAAACAGCAGAAAATAACTCAACTGAATTTAGGTGTTGCAGGAAATTAGATTTAAAACTATTAAAAATGTAAATTTTTACTGATTATCTTATCAACTTCCTCTGACACAATACGCACAAACCAACAGTCATTTTATTCATTTAAATGTAAACTATTACCAGTCGAGTCGAGTCGCAGTAAGCTATGATTAAATCCAGCCTTCTGCATACGTTGTACTCTGGGATTTTCCAGTTAGGACGGCTCAGACCACAGTCAGTCCACCAGTGTGACCAACTCATTTTGCAGACTTGCAGACTGTAATTTCTCCTCTCATATGCAGTGAGAAGTTTGCTATGAATAATAAATGCCTGAAGAACATCCACCTTTTTTCTGCATTGATCCCGTTCATCAGGCACTTATGCATCTGGAAACCATGTGGTCTCCCAGGTCCTTCCAGCTCCTGCTTGATGAAGCCAATTCCTTCTGCAAAGTCTGAGTGTGATTGGTTCTGCAGCACAAGCATTTTAAACAGATAAGAACGATGCAAACAAATAGATCTAAAGAAAAGCAAAACAAACTAAAACCTATAAGATCCAGGAAAGAAAAAAAATTAATTATCGCCCTTTAGAATGAACTACTGTAGACTGAATGAGTGAGAAAACAAAGAATCATCTCAATATTCAGGTTTGGGTTTTAAGGATCAAGCTCTGCACTTTAAAACACATTGCTGCTGGTGCAAATGATAATTAAAAGTTTTCTAACTAAACGACAAATCACTGTTCCAAATTCCTTCTGGGGACAGATTGTATCTGGAGGCTTAAATCATTTTTGCTCTGTTGAGTTTTCTAAAGTTTTGGTCTGTAGAGGCAGAAAAGTAAGAAATAAATGTGGAGAATATTTGGAAACAGTTCACTTGATGTTTATGTTTTCATCAATCCTTATTTATTTTAAATTTTTTTTTTTCCTTTTTTGTCGGTGAACCAACTGAAATCCTAAACTTTGAAATGGCAAAAATGTAATTTGTACCATTTGGGTATCATAAAAAGCAGAATCATGTTTCCATTCCTTCCACTGATTTAAGAGAATTCCCCAACACAGGTGGCTTTTCATAATGTGTTAGAATGATAAAAACCAGAGGTTACGCTAATCCAGTTAAATCAAACCAAGGTAACCATGGATTACTTATAATACATTCCTCAGGTGCTAATCAGGACTTCTGTGGAAAGATGATGATCAATTGTCTCATCTGTTGCGTAATCACTCTGAACAACCTCAGTTTGATGAAACAGAGATTTGCGTGTTAGACTGCTTCACCAGTGAGTGATGTCACTGCTCAGCACCAAAAAGCATGCATGAATAGTAATAACATTATATCATTTTATTCTTTAATCGAGTCAGAGAACAGAGAGCTGCCGTGTGATGTAAAATGTGGTGTTCGATGACCAGAAGAAATGCCATTTTTTACGCTGCTCTGTGAGACAACAGAGCCTCGTGAACTGCGTCATTTTGGCTGCATTTGCTGGTGTAACCCAAATTTTAAAGCAGCGTGAACACAGCCTATTTTCTTTTCCGTCCATTCTGCTTCACCAGCAACATCTGCTCATGTCACTTCCTACTGAATTACAACCAGTCAGCGTTGGTTAACCAAAGAATCCACTCAGCGACTCGGAAAATGGTCCTTTCAACAAGCCCGCTGGGGTGGAAACACGCACAGGAAGTTCCCGTAAAATTACCCTGATGTTTTGGTAGTGGAAACATGCCTGAAGGTGTGCATTTAGCCAAGATTGGTTTAAAACATCATTAAAGACACGAGGTTTAAATCTAATCGTTAATGCTCGGTATACACACTGAGCTAAACCAGTCATTTTGGTGCACATGCAACTAGAAAGTGTCACAGTGCTCCTACCATTTCAGATCATAATTATGCGTCTGTGACTAGCTGTTAGCTCATCAATCTGGACAGAGCCTATTCCTCCAAACTGAGGCCTTTTAAAGAGCTGTCTACAACAGATGACATGTTAATTGTTCACGTTTTTTCCTCAGAGTCCAACTAGAAAGGATCTGAACTCATGCTGAAAGGATCAGCATGAGTTATTTTGTTCTGATGACTGCTCATGGTTGCAATTCAAGAATCTTCCCCCACAAATCAAACCAGCTTTCAAACAGAATATTTTATTCTTGTGGCTACAAAATATTAATTTAAAGCCAGTAAGGAAGTGATTTGTGCTGATGCTATCAAAACGCCACGACTTGTCCTCATTACAGAAGTGAAAAGGAGAATCCAGCAATTTTCTTGTGTCCAAACCACAGAGTTACTCTGAGACTGATGTAGTAGTCACTTAGAAAATGAAGCCGCTATTTCATATT